GCCAGGAGGCGACCTCTGATTCTGATGGGGGGGTCTTTTAATCGTTTTCTCTGACTTTGGGTCGCTCCACAACAACAACAACCTCCTCCTCCTCCGCCTACGGCTCCGCCTCCGCCTCCTCCTGCTCCTCGCCCTCCTCTTCCCAGCCGAACGTTTGAAAGGTCAAAGTGGGGGTCGGGCGCAGGGTCCCGGCAATGGTGTTTTATGGGCCATGCCTGGGCGATACATCCTCGATTGCTTTGTTCGGCGGGGGAACCACTTGAAGCTCCCCGCTTGCACCCATGCGCGAAACTTCAGGGTAAACGAAGCAGGGGGGTGGGCTCGGGAAATGCGACGAAGGCAACATGCGCTGAGAGCGCAAACGAAAAGGTTTGAATAAACGACAGCGCTGAGGTGAGTGTCAAAATCTGCCCGGCCCATCTGACATGCGGAATACTGCGCCTCAGTTCTGGGGGTCTTGAAGGCCAGGGCAAAATGTGCATTCACATTTTGGGACAAAGAAAAAAGTAAACGTACATTTTGGGAATAAAAGGAGAATGTGAGATCACATGTTAGAATTTTGTGTGGGAGTCTTCACGAAGGGGCCAGATTGTGAATTCATATGTTGGGAAAGAAGGGAAATGTGCATTCACATTTTGGAAAAAAAGAAAAAGCTGTGAATTCAAATGTTGGAAGAATCGCGGGACCCATTCCAAATCTGTCTTGGGGGTCGACAAGTCATCGTTTGGGAACTTGCGCGATCATCAATCGCACAATCAAAACACACTTTCACTCCACTTCGCCGCCCCACGCGCAATGTGCAAGAACGCCCGCACGCATGAGCGATAATGGATGGACGGCGCGTTTGCCCGCGCGGGCAACGCGCGGGCACGAACGACTGGCCCTCCATGACCGCCAACACTGGATGCCAATCGTACCAAATCACATACATGAGCGATACATTGAGCATACATGGGCCATTCAGCCCCCATTGAAGACCCCCTGTTGCAAACCCCCTCTTTCACCCTCCAAAGCGTATGGCGCCAGCGGTCCGTCTCCGGGCCGGCCCCCGGTCGGCTCGGCGGCCCCCGTCGGCGAGGGCCGCTGGGGGCCGCGGCAGAGCGAGGGCTTCCCCGGCGCCCAACGGCTTTTTGGTGCGTGATGCTGGACATGCAGTAGGAGCTCGACCACAAGAAACCACATCGAGGGGAACGAAGACTGCCGTAAACATCAAAACATTAAAAATCAGAGGACTGCGCGGATTTCTCGGATCCGCGCTGGACCCCCGTTGCGGAGCTGGACCTCCGATGTTTGATGTTTATGTCATTGTCCGATTCCCTAACATCTGAGCCTGGCGCTTGAAATCCCACCAGCTCTCTGGGCGTCGGTGGTTTAAGGCGTTTCCTCTTCCGCCCCTCTTTCTTCTCCTCCGGGGAGGGGTTTCTCACTGTTCCCTATTAGTAGACACCCCCTCCCCCAGGCGACTGGGAGCCAGCGGGCCCCCCCACCATCCTTTGTACACAAAAACAATACAAACACACACTCTGCCCCCACCATCCTTTGTAAAAAACAATACACAACCCACTTTGTTTCCAAATTCGGAACATGCGCAGCGAACCCGATGCGGCCTCCCCCCACCACCCCTGTCAAAAAAACAATACAGAGTACACTTGGCGGCGGCGGCGGTTGCGGCGGCTGCGGCGGGGGCGACGGCTGCGGCGACTGCGGCGGTGGCGGCGGCGGGGGCGGGGGCGGCGGCGAGGGCGGCGGCTGCGGCGGCGGCGGCGGCGGCGGCGGTAGCGGTGGCGGCAGCGGCTGCGGCGGCAGCGGCTGCGGCGGCGGCGATTTGGCAGCGGGGGCGGCGGCGGCGGCGGCGGCGGCGGGCGGCGCGGTGGCGGCGGCGACGGCGGACAGCGGCGGCGGCGGCGGCGACGGCGGACAGCGGCGGCGGCGGCGGCGGGCGGCGGCGGCGGCGGCGGAGGCGGCGGCGGCGGATTGGCCCCCAGTAGCTGGCCATCCAATGGCGACTGCTGCATATGCTGCGGCTCGGGCCCGGCTCGGGTGCTACATATATGTTGGGAAGGCGGGTGGGAGTGAGCGAGACGGCTTGCGGGCGGGGAGGGGGACTCTTGACCCCTCCCCCTAGCCCCCCCCCCTGGATTTGGAAAGGGGGTTCCGCGAGTCGTCGGAGCGTCCAAAGCGGCCTCGGCGAGGAAGCCAAAATCACTGGTTTTACTAAGGTGTTGGCCCCATTTTGGGCCTCCTGAAGGAGGACCCTGATTAGTGACCCCCCTCATGTGATCGATCTCGCCCAAGATGGCCAAAAAAGGGTCCCCACGGCTCCCAAGGGCGCCCCAAGAGTTGGCCAGGAAACCCAAGAGGCCCCCAAGATGCCCCCCAAAGGCTCCCAATAGACCTCCAAGAGGACCCACGCGACCTCCCAAAGGCACCCAAGACTGCCAAACCATTGAGTTTACCCAGGTTTTAGCCACATGCTGGTCTCTAGGGGGGGACTGATTAAGATGACTCCAAGAGCGCCTGGGGGAGCCCAAGATGACCTCCAAGATGGCTCAATATATCCCAAGATGTCTCAGAATGGCTCCCACGATGCTCCAAAATGTCCCAAGACCGCTCTTAGACGGCTCCAAGTGGCCAAAGAGCTCCCTCCCCCAGGAGCCCCGAAGAGGCCAAAACCTTACGAACATCGGTGTGTTTGGTTGTCTCGCCTTCACGCTTCCGATGGCCATCCGAAGCCTCAAGATGGCTCCAAGATGGCCCAAGAGGGCCCCAAGAGAGGCTCAAGAGAGCCCCAAGACGGCCCCAAGAGCGCCTAAGAGTGCTCCAAAAGCGCCCCAAGAGGCGATTGTTTGGGCTCCCGAGCAACGCTAACGAATGCTCACTGCTTGTTTGATCGATGTCCTCCAAGATGGCTCCAAGAGCGCTCCCAAGGCTCCCAAGAGCGCTTCCAGAAGGCCCCAAGAGGCGCCCAGGAGGCCCCAACAGGCGTTCAAGAGGCCTCAACGATGCTCCCAAGAGACGCTCTCCGAGGCACCCAAGACTCTCCAAGAGGCCTCCACTGGGGGACCATTCCTCTGTGTGCTGCCCACTTCCCTGATCGAGGCAATTCCTCTGGGCATCGTTTCTGGATGGGCTGGCTGGGTTAGTTTTTGTTTGACTGCGGCCGCGCGACAACGGTCTGGCGGCGAGAGCAGTGTCCGGGGCAGCGGCACAGTGCGAATTAGCGAACGCAGCAGCCAGGAAAGCTGGCTGGGTTATTTTTTTTGATTGGCGGCTCCAAGCGGGGCGGGCGCGTCTGGATGGCTGGGTTATTTTTTTTGGTCGGCGGCCCGCAAGGAAAAGTCCAGAGGGCGTGTCAATCACCGGCAGTGGGGCGCAATGCCAGATAACTCGTGAGGGCCAGGCCATGAAAGGAGGAAACCGCCAAAGAGGGCGCCAACCCACACACGTGCAACATGCAGAACAGGGCGGGCAGCAGGACAGAGTGACCGACTGTCCTAACAACAGCCGACCGGACCGGCAAGGAGACACGATGGCTGGGTTATGCGAAGTGTCTAGAATTCGCATCTTCCTGGATGGGGGGCGGGTCGCTCTCAGAATGTGGTCCCCGCATCCGCGCCGAGGGCGTATCCGTCTTACACGCGCTGCAGGCAGCTGCACGGAGGGAGAGCGGGCCTTCTCTCCAAACGCGGCTGTCGCCTCCGCGCCGCGCACGCTCGCCGTGACACCTGGCAGCAGCCTCGCGGATGGAGGTCGGGTTGTTTCCGCCACCGTTCCCCCCCGGGCTCCGCCAGCAGCATCGGAGGCGGCTCCTGGGCGGGGTGGGCTACACTAGGCGCTCGACCAGAAGGAACCTTCCCCAGGAAGCCCAACCCTGGAACCCCAAGACGACCACTGAAGTCTAGTGTGGGGACGTCACGCGTTCCATGACAACAGCAATCAAACCCTGGGCACCCTGGAGGCCAACAGGGTGTGTCTTGGCATGGGCTTCCACTGTAAGACTCGGGTTCGGGGGACTCGGGTTGGCCTGACGGGGCCATCAGAAGAATGACGAAAGCCAATCTGACATTTGACGCGAAGGCCCGCTGCAGACATTCCACGAGAACTGGACCGTCAAAATCCAAGACGCGCTCGTCAAAAGACGTCGGCAAACCCGAGTTCCGAAGTACGTGAGTCTTGCGTTTCCCCGACCCTGAACCAACAAGTCTCGGAGTTTGTTTTGGTTTCTATGCTGGCATGTCTGCTTGCATGCCCCCCCCCCGCCCCCCCCGCCCCCCCCCCCCACACACAGCTGCAAACAGCGCCACCGTTTCGAACAGCGCTGGACCGAAAATGCATGCAAGTGCGTCCCGACTTGCCTTGAAGTCCAGATTCCCTTGTGGACCTCGCCACGACCCCCCCGCCTTCCCCCTCCAAGCAAGTCACCTCGCCCGAATTTCAAGAAATAAAACTCGTGGCATCTCTTGGCTTCCGCCAGCGGAATCGGCCTCGCTTTACTTCCGCCGCCTCCCGCGAGCCTCCCGCCGAGGAAGAATGCCGATTCCTCCGACCCTCGAACGCGACCTCTGGGGCGACCCTGCTGGAGGCCGCCCGAACGGAGACCGAGCAAGTGGGGTCAGAACGTAGCAGCGCATCGCCGATGCATCGGCGACCCCGATTGACAGAAAATCGGCGGGAGGAGGCGGGCCAGAGGAGGAGGCGGGAGGGATGGGGAGGGATGGGGGGACGGCAGGGGAGGGAGGGCGGATAAATACGACTCTGTGGATAGGCCGCGCTGGTGCCTTGCACATGGCTGACACACTAGAGATCAGCAAGGAAATGCGAACTGCACGAAGCCCGCATCGGTGACTCAGCTCAGCAGAGGATCGCGGCCGAACCCCGAGACTCGAAATGATGGGAGGGAGGATGGAAGATGGCGGAGGGAAGGAGGACGGAAGGCTCGTGATACAAGGCGGCCCTCAAATGCCCTCGCGGCAAGATGAACAAGGGGCCAGGGCGGCGGCGTAGGACAACACCAGCGACAACACCGCCACGTCGAACGAGCCGGCGGTGATCGAGCGGAGGCTCCCGTCCTCGTTCAGGGTGAAGCGCTCTGGCGGCGGAGAGGCCAGGAGCGCCATAGCTGGGCGGAGGGTCAGGAGGCACCTCCTGGGAGGTCTGCTGTGGCAACTGGTGGGGGCTTCCCATGCCAGCTTGCTGACTTCTGGTGACCAACACTAATCGACGCTGGTCGATGTTTACTCATCGATGACCAGACGCTAACGCACGCGAGTGTACTCTAAAGACGGAGTTACGTACGAGGACATACAGGGCTACCATGATTTGCTATCGAAGGGGCCTTTGCTAGAACAGCTTCTGCAATATTTTGGGCCCGATTGAGAAAAAGGGCACTAAGCGGGATTAGCCCGAATTAATCCGACAGTGAAGCCCGATAACGCCGGAATCTGGTGCGTGTGCGCCAGATCCACGCATCGGTGGAGCTACCACCCCCCACACATGAAGCCAATGCCGTCTGGTTGGGTGTCGGGGAGCGCGTCGATGTTGCATAGAAGCTGGACCCATCGCTAAGCTACGCGCCTTGATTCATTTTTGCCGCCTGCATAGTCTCCCTCCATGCTTCCCCTTCCCACCCTCCCGAAGCCACCCCCCCTCCCCACGTCGCTGCTTCCCCCTCGCAGTCATCATCCCAACTTGCCCCCGCTTCTCCCCCTCTCCCTAACCCCTCCGCCACCTCTCTCCTGCTCCCAACCCTCGCAGAAGCCGCTGCCCTGCCGTCGTTCGCGTCACACTCGGCTGTCCAGTCCGTTCTGCAGGCCACGGACGTGTCTCTGCGCGTCGCGCCCCGCCATGCGCGACGCGCGGTTCTCTTCGCGCCCTCGAAGCCGCCGTCCTGGAGAAGGGGCAGCGACTCTGGCTCGGCCAAGCGACGCGCGAAGCACGAGTCTCTGCGCGCCCCTGCGTGCGACCTAGGGTGCACGGTTGATGGGCCCACTTTCCATCACCACTACCATCGGTAGGAGAGGGAGGAGAAGGAGGAGGAGGAGGACCTCCTTGTCCTCCCTTCTCACCCGTCCTACCTATGGTAGTGGTGGCGGACAACTGGCCCATCAACGGTGACTGCCCGATGCGCCGAGAATTCCAGCACTCGGGCGCCCAGCTCACCGATAGGCCGGGACCTGGCCAGCATCACCGAGACGCGCAGACAGCGCACCGCGGTTCAAAGAGAGAATCCCAGAGGACCAGAAGGAGGCGGCCATGACTCTGGCTGCTGATGGAGGCCGCTCCTCTTAGCATGGGGGAAGCGGGTCCTGAGGGATACGGGTCCTGGACCCTGGGGCATTTCCCCCAGGACCAATTTTAAAGCCCGAGTCGTGTTCTGACAGTCCCGGGGCCCGTGGAGAGCCCCAAAGGTCCGAAAACGGCGAAAAACATCAGGACTGGTTTCCCTCAGGACCCGTTTCCCCGATGGCGATCCTCGTGCCTCGCTTGGGCGCCGCAAGTTGGGGGGGAGGATAAGTGGGGGGAAGAGAAGCGCACTTATCGTGCCACGAAAGCCCCCCTTGGGGCCATAGAGGGCCTGCCAAGGGGCCCTAAAAGACCCCGTTTCTGCAGCCTTCGCTGCCCCCAAGTTGATGGCCCCCCAGTGCGCGACGCCTTCCTCGTTCCTTCCTCCTCCTCCTCCTCCTCCTCCTCCTCCTCCTCCTCCTCCTCCTCCGCCTCCTCCTCCTCCTCCTCCTCCACCTCCTCCTCCTCCCTCCCCTCCCCCCTCCTCCTCCTCCTCCTCCTCCTCCTCCTCCTCCTCCTCCTCCTCCTCCTCCTCCTCCTCCTCCTCCTCCTCCTCCTCCTCCTCCTCCTCCTCCCTCCTCCTCCCTCCTCCTCTTCCTCCTCCTACTCCCTACTCCTACTCCTACTCCTACTCCTATCCTTATTCCTTATTAGAATATACTCCTACTCCCCCCTCAGGCCGGCAGATAGGGGCCGCATCCGGGTGGTCCCATCCTAACCTGTAAAAAACAATACAAAATCAACATTTTTCTTATTTTTTCCTCTCGACATGGACGTCCTGTCGTCCACGGCGATAATCCATTGCAAAAAATACCACAAAGAGCACACGCGCGCGTTCATGTCAGAATCCTACCGAACACCGTGTGTTTGCAAGCATTTCAACATAAAAACATCAAAAACCCAATGCTTTTTCACAAAAATTGTACAAATTTCCCGCCCGGGCTCTCTTGCTGAAATCATAGGAAAACCATAGGAATCTTAAGAATTCTGTCAAATCCAGCGATTTCACGTCATCGCGCGGTGCACTCGCGATGCTCTGTCATGCACCCAGGCCGCGAATCCTGTGCAAAAAATACCACAAAGAGCACACTCGCGCGTTCATGTCAGAATCCTACCGAACACCGTGTGTTTGCAAGCATTTCAACATAAAAACATCAAAAACCCAATGCTTTTTCACAAAAATGCTTTGGGGTGTCCTGTCAGACCGTCGGGCTTCCTCCGGCCACCTCTGGCTTCCTGCGGTGTACCGGGCCATTCTCGACTCGTCTGGCAATGCGTGCGCGGCATTCAACACGCGCTCGCCAGTTCCCGTCGGCAACCGCCATCGCGGCCGCATCAGCTGTACCAAACCGGCTGGCCGGTGTGACTTCGGCCCCCAGTTGTGCCAGCTTTGCTTCTTATGTTGTGGGAGGGCGGGTGGGACTGGGCATGCCATGCTTGACTCGCTCGAGCTGGCTAGCTTGACTCCTACTCCTACTCCTGCTCCTCCCTCCCCCTCCTCCTCCTCCTCCTCCTCCTCCTCCTCCTCCTCCTCTTCCTCCTCCTCCTCCTCCTCCTCCTCCTCCTCCTACTCCTACTCCTCCTCCTACTCCTATCCGTCCGTAGCCATTTTGGCTCAAGGTTTTGGTTTCCCCTGGGAACAAAGTGGATACCGCTAGTCCGCGGCCAGCTTTCATCTTTCGCCTGGTTCGCCCCAGGCAGAGCGGTGCGTGGTCCGCCCCACGCATCGCAGCTTTCACCACGACTAGGCTGTGCGCTGGTCGGTGGTCAGTCCATCCAGCCTCTCCCTCGGCATGGCGTGGGGCAAGGCCAAAGGCGGAGGCAAAGGCGTGTCGTGCACCGATGTCTGGCCTCCTCTGGTGCCTGGTCCTTTGTTCGGCAAGGGCGGCGGCGGTGTGCAGGATCAGGACGACAACCAGCAGCCAGGCAAGAAGTGGAAGTGCCAGGCTTGCGGGTGCGCCAAGAATGCAGCTCGTTTCTATTATTGCAAGCACTGTGGAGCCTACAAGCAAGTCCCCTCTTCGGCATGGTCTGGAGATGCAGCACGTCAGTTGTTCGGCTACGGGCAGCTCAACGGTGGCGCTGCGTGGGGCAAGGGACCTGGCGGTGGTGACGCAGGACTGCGACAGAAAGGTGCTGGAGGCGGCTTCCCCCAGGGAGGTGGTCAGCAACCCGCCCCTGCTGGCGCTGCTGCAGCAAAGTTCACAGCCGCTGAGTACGAGACCATGGCAGGCTTCGCTGAGCGTATGGGAGATTCTGCAGGTGCGGCTGCCCATCGTCGTGCTGCCAAGGCCCTCACCGCGCCGAAGCCAGCAGAAGAAGCTATTCAGGTTCGTCTCAATCGGGCTCACTGGAAAGTGCATGGTATCAACAAGCGTTTGGAGTCGGCTGTTGAGAAGTACGAACAGTACGAAGCTCAGCTCAACAATCAGAAGACGGTGGTGCTGGAGCTGCGTGCGGAGCTCACCAATGCCGAAGGTGAACACGCGACACTCTTGCAGGACTTGGTTGAGTCTCAAGAGGCAGCTAAGCATCCACCCACGTCGACGGTCAAGCTTGCATTGGAGGACATCATGGATAAGGAGCGTCTCGCGAAGGTCTTTGACATCAGCGTATCGGACTTGTTCAAGTGTGACGGTGTGGAGCTTGACGAATCGGACAACATCGAGATCGAGTCACGCGTGCAGCAGCTCAAGGCAGGGCTCGCGGCGATGGCCAGCACCCTCTTCGCCGAGGCCAAGCAGAAGGTCGACGGCCTCAAGTCCGCCCACGCGCTGCACATCAAGAGGCTGGCGGCCAAGCGGCCTCGAGTAAAGCAGGAGGCGGCCTTCGAGGAACCTCCTGATGCTGGTGATCCTGCCGAAGGAGATGAAGGTGCAGCCCAGCCGCCGTCTGCCGAGGCGGAGCCAGGCACGGCACCTGCGCCAGGCACTCCGCAGACAGCCACGGTCGACCTGTCCGCGGGCAAGAGCGGTCCTCTCTGCAAGGAGCTGTTCCAGGCGGAGGCGGCGCAGGCGCGCCAGGCGCAGCGGGCGCTGCGGCAGCAGCTCCGACCACGCCTGCTACGACAAGCACTGCTCGTGAGCGCGCTGACCGCATTGCCGCGGCCACTCACGCAGCCAATGATTAGCTACCCCCTGGAGGCCAGCCCTGATACTCGTCGCCTCCTCGAGTCGTCGGTTGATCGGGGTCCGCAGGTCCTTCGCTCGGAAGGCTGCCTCCAGGGGGGGTTTGAAGCTCGTTTAGTATTTCGGCACGCTGATTTCCGCTCAGCAGCGCAAGCTGCCCTCCTCCGCAAGAGGGGTTCGCTTCGTCGCAAGGCTGATCTGACGCCAGACTGTGCCCATGTGTCTTTGCTTGATTTCGCGGTGCCAAGGGTTTTGTATCCTGTTCACTCCCTTGGTAAGCCAGCGCGCAAGGATGCCACTGACGGGGCTGTCCCGCACGTGGCCACTCCTGTTTGCCCCCCCATGGAGGGGGGATCTCGTCCCCACGTTGAGCTCGTCGCTCTCGGAGATTTTAAGTCAGGACATTCCAATGGCAAATTCGAACCCTTGGATTCTCAGAGGGTGCAGCGCCCCTCTGATTATGTCAAGTCAACGGCGCGCTCTGTCAGTAATGTCAGATTGCCTGTGCCTGCTCCTCTCGTCGGCAGCGAGCAGCCATCGGTTTCTAACTCTGACAGTTTGGTGCCACTCACGATTCAGACCATTAATGCCAACTCGTGGGGTACGTTGAAGGGTCTGCTCGAAGATTCTTCTGCCCTCATTGTGCTCGGTCAGGAGCACCGTCTGATTTCCAAGGGGGACATCGAGCAGGCCAGTGCTTGGTGCATAAGGCATGGATGGAAGTCGGTGTGGGCCCCTGCTATCCCCACCCAAGCGCAGGACACGAGTGGGGGTGTTGCCATTTTCGTGCGCTCTTGGCTGGGGCTTCTGGAGGTCGAGGGCGCCATCACGACGCCTGGGCGATGCATCGCGTGCTCCGCGCACCTCCCTGGGACCCCCCCCATCCTGGTTGCCTCTGCCTACCTTCACCACTCAGAAGGCCTCAGCGATGGTAATCTTTCGTTGCTTGCGAGGCTCGGCGAGCAACTGTCGACCGTTGGCCAGCCGTGGGTGGTCGGTGCCGATTTTAACTTGGAGCCTGCTGAGCTCGAGTCTTCAAGTTTTGTGTCTGAGTTGAGGGCTTCCCTCATTTTCCCCCTTGTCGCGACGCACTATCCTGCGGGCCCTCCCACGACTTTCGACTTCTTCCTTTGTTCGGGCGGTCTTGCGAAGGGTCTCAAGTCGGTCGATACGAGATTGGATACGGAGCTCTCCCCCCATAGGCCCGTCCAGTTGGTGTTCCATCCCAAGCTGGCGGTGCTTCACGCTCTCTCTTTCAGGAAGCCTCCCCCCTTGCCTTGCCAAGTGGTTTTCGGCCCTGCCCCCAGGGAAAGTTGTTGGGCTGGGGAACTTGCGCCGGCGTCAGAGGCTGAACGTTGTCTCCAGAATGGTGACGGTCAGGGGGCCAAGCGTCTTTTGGGTCCGCTCTACAGGAAGTGGGCTGACCATGCTGAGCGTGACCTCATTCCTCTGGTGGGCGTTGCCCCTCCCAAGTTAGGTTCCAGGGGTTTGGGTCCTCAACTTGTGTGGAAATCTATCCTGGGCCAGGACGGGAAGGTGCGTTATCCTGGTCATCGCGCGATTCGTTGGCTCGGGCAACAGCTTCGCGCCTTCATGCACGCTCGGCGCGGAGGCGCTGCTGCCACTGCTGCCAGGCTCAGTTGCGTGTTGGTGGAGCCCCCGCCCAGCATCTCGGCCGCCGTGGATGACTGCGAGCCGCTGTTCAAGCGTGCGGCTCAGGAGGTCTCCGCCTTTGGCTCTGGTGGGGATGTTGAGTCTCTCGCTGATTTGTACACTCAGGTTCACGAGGCCGTCAAGGCCGCCAGCGCCAAGTACGCCGCCAAGAGCCGAGCTGACTGGGCAGCATGGCTGCACGTTGGCATCAATAAGGGGGCAAAAAGGGTTCATCAGTGCATTAAAGATCCTGTTCCATGGGTCCCTTCTTCGACTCTCGCTGCTTCAGGTTGCGTTGTCAGCGATCCTCTCTCCCTGCTCAAGGCGGAGGGAGAGAGGTTCAGCAGCATATGGGGTGAGGGTCGGGGGGCCGAATTTGATGGTCAGGTCCTCGAGCCTCTTCCTCGACCCACGGCCAGCGAAATCCGTGATATCTCTAAGTCCTACAAAGATTCTTCGGCTGTGGCTGTGGACGGATTTCACTGCAAGCATTTTTCGTTGTTGCCAGATGCTGCGCTCGATTGCCTCAGCGCCATTTTTTCGATCATGGAAGCGCTAGGCTGCCTTCCTCCGCAGATCTCTGTTGTCACGTTGGCGCTTCTGCCGAAGCCCACTGGTGGCTACAGGCCGATTGGGGTGTTCTGCTCCTGGTTCAGGGTTTGGGGCCGCTGTCGGCGGCCCTTTGCCTTGAACTGGGAGCAAGAACACCCCAAACGGTACTGGGCTGCTGGTAGATTTCGAGGAGCCGCCGATGTGGTTTGGCGTCAAGCGGTCACCGCCGAGACGGGTCTTGCCATCGGGGAGTCCTCATGTTCGGTTCTGTTCGATCTCCGCAAGTTCTATGAGAACATTAGTCTGAAAGAGCTTGAGGTCCGCTGCAAGAAACATGGACTCCCTCTTGCGATTGCCCGTCTTTGCATTTATGCCTACAGGTGTGGGCGCTTTCTCTGTCTAGGGGGGTGGCTGGAAGGCCCCTACTTCTGCCAGAATGGGGTCATCGCAGGCTGCTCGATGGCCACCACGTTCATTCGGTTTTTTTTTTGCCAGGACGGATGCGACTCTCTTCCTGCCATCCCCGGGCTCGACCTCGACGTGTATATCGACGACCAGGGGCTCTCGTGCACGGGCCAACATCGGACCGTGGTCGAATCGATCGTCGAAGGGGCTAAGGCGCTCCATGGTATCGTTGAGTCTTGTTTCGGTTGTTCCCTTGCCCTGGACAAGACTGCTGTGGTTGCTTCTTCGAAGGCCCTGGGGGAGGAGGTTTCTGTCGAAATTTCGCATCTAGGAGGCATTTTTACGTCTAGCGCTGTCAACTTAGGCGTTGACTACACGGCTGGCCGCGCGCTTAGGGCGGCAGGGCGCTCGGTGAAGTCTAAAATGCGTATCGCCAAGGCTGCGAGGGCGGCCGAGATATTAAAGCGTCAGATCAAAGTCATCTCTAGGCCGAAGGTTCTTAGGGTGTTCTCTTCGGGGCCTCTTGCGGGGGCTTCTTATGGCTCCGACCTTACTGAAACTAGTGACCTCGAGTTGCTTCGGCTTCGTCGTCAAGTGTTTTCTGTGGTCCGACCCCGATCTCAGCTGAGATCTTTGACGACGGCGGCTTTGCTCGATTATGATCCGTGCTGGCGCACTGCCACCGCCCCCATTCTCCGTTGGTCCAAAGGGATTTGGCCGGCTCAGACTGGGGCTTACTCTTGGGGGTTGGACTTTCCATCGTTGCGTCGTGCGTGGGAAGCGGTTTTTTCCAACCCTGTTTGCTCCTGGAGGGTGGTCTCGGGCCCCGCGTCGGCCCTTCGGATGTCCCTGGCCAGGCTGGGCTGGTCCATGGACAACTTCACGACGGTGCGAGATGACCGTGGCTTTTCGATTCCCCTCGGCATTATCTCGCCGGCTTTATTCAGGATTTTGCTCAAGGATGGGTATTTTAAGATGTTGGAGGGGCTCTCTGCTGAGAAGAGGGGAGTGCTCCCCAGGATATGCTATGATGTGCTGCGCGAGGCCTTGGCCTCCAAGAAATACACGGCCCTTCAGAAGGCCCATATCAGAGCGTTCGCCACCGAGGCTTTTTTCACTGGAGATCGTGCTGTGAACTTAGGCTACGTCGTGGACGGCAATTGCCCGTTCTGCGGCGCCACGGACACGATCTTCCACAGGTTGTGGGAGTGCCCCCACGAGCCAGTGGCTGAGCTTAGATCCTCACTAGTTGAAGATAGCACTGTAGCCGAAGCCCTAGCTGCTAAGGACGACGAGGAAGCAGTGTTCGTTTTCATATCTGGGGCTTTCCGCCACCCCGCCGACGGGTACCCCAGGCCCCTCTCTGAGACGGACAATGGCCCGTTTCTTGTGTGGCACTACCAAGATATTTCGTCGCCCTCTGGGGCTAAGCCTGGCACTGAACTTTGGGGTAATGTGTTCATTGACGGCTCTAGCAGCCGCCACACTGTTCGGGGGCTCTCCAGAGCTGGCTGTAGTGCGGTGATGGTCGACGACCAAGGGTCGGCCGTCGCAGAATTTCGGGCCCCTGTGTGGGCCCCTTATCCCCAGACGCCACAGTCGGCTGAGTTCAGCTGCTGGACTTGGGCCAATGTGCTCGCGCCGGCCAGCATCGTTGTGTTCTCCGACTGCAGCAATGTGGTCAATCTTGCCTGTCGGCCTAAGGCCGAGCAGCTGAGTGGGAAGAGGGCTTACTCTGGGGCCTTCCTCCAGCTCTACGCTCAAGGTGTATCGCCATCAACGTGCACCAAAGTCGCAGCTCATAAGGAGCTGGACGAGGCGGGGATCGACGCAGCTGAGCGCTGGAGGCGCCTCGGCAATCATCACGCGGACGCAGCTGCCAAGCACGCAGCGCGTCTTCATCCTTCTTGTCCAGTCAAGCTAGCGGCGGCGGACAAGCTTGTCTCGCAGGCTCGCCAGACGATCAGGCTGGCGGCCCACGTTTTGCATGCGTGGCCTTCCTTGGACCTCTCCGAGGCAGGACGAATTTTAGCCCCGCCTGCCACTGCTGGAGTTTCCGCAGGGCACGGCTGGGAAATGTGGTCTGGAGTGTGGCGCTGTGCTGTTTGCCTCAGAGGCAAGCGATCTCAGAGTAGGCCCTTGCCTGGTGTCTGCTCTCAGGAGTCTCGGCTTCACGCGTCCAGTCAGGACGCCCTCGAGCATCGTACGATTGCGTTCGACTGCTCTGATGGCTCGGTTTTGTTTATCTGCACTAGGTGCAAGGCGCATTCCAGTGGAGCTTCAGTCCGTGGTTTAGCCGCCAAGTGCCAGCCGCCTCCTTCGCGCGCTGCGGAATACGGCTGGCAAGCCCTGTGCAAAGGCAAACACCCGCATTACAGGCAGCAGAAAGCGGGTGTGACTGTTGATGTAGGCAATCTTATG